CGATCTTGGATTTATTGGTACAGATGTTCATAACGAGGCGAAGGTCTTGAGTAAGAAATTTGTTGCTTTGTTCTCTAAATACTCGACATGCTACAACTTTATGAGTTCAAGTGAAAAAACTAACAAGAATCCATTATCAGAATTAGGTGAAATTACATTTTTTAAATTGTTTTTTATTATGAAAGTTACTCGCATTGAAATTATTTTTGCAACGGTGTTCATAATTATTTCTTTGTTTTTTAATTTTTTATAGAAAGAGCCATTGATGAATTAATGAGTTACTTTCGTAAAATATGGCCCAATGAGTCCATTACTCTAAAAATGCATTTGTTAGAAAGTCATTTTGTTGATTTTATTAGAAATTGGAATTTGGGTCTTGATATTTATGGAGAGCAAGGTTTAGAAAGCATTCATGCTGAATTCAACAGTATGAATAGCACATTTTGTCATATGAAAGGAAAGCAAAGGCTGAGAAGTATTTTGTCCATTCACTATATCAAAAACTCTCCAGAAGCTTTAATAATTATTAAAGCTTCTGGAGAGTTTTATAATTAGAATTAGAATTTTTTTTTTAATTTATAATTAGAATTATAACTATATTTATAATTAGAATTAGAATTAGACTATAGTTATAATTAGAATTATAATTAGAATTATAATAATAAATTTATAATTAGAATTATAATTAGAATTAGAATTAGAATTTATAATTAGAATTAGAAAGCCTTATAAAAGAAAAGTTTGAAACGTGAAACTTTATAGATGAATTTTAGAATCAAAAATTGTATATTATATAACGATTTAATTTTTAAGTGTGTGTGTGTGTATGTGCGTGTGTGTGTGTGTGTTTTCCAATACAATAATTACTATCGTTTTTTTTTACATCTGGTAATTACATTTAGTAAAACGGAAATTTTATTAAAAAAGCGGATATTTTTTTAGCGATAAAAATTCATAAATTACAAAGAAAAAAAAATTACCGGTTTCTCAAAATTGGACATATTCTTACCTAAACTTTAACTCTTAAACATTTCAGATTTTCACGAAAAATTTATTAAAGTACTTATTTATCAAGAATAACTAGACTTCCATAAAGTTTGTAACTAAAAAAATTGCAATGTTCTTGAACTTATAAAAAGTGAGTAAACACTTTTTTTTTATATGTATGTATCTTTTAAAACTAGTTCAACTAAATATAACATCAGTTGATATTATAAATTGCATCTCACAATTAAATAGTAATAAGTCCCCAGATAGCTGTGGGTTAAGTGCTGAACACCTTAAAAACTCTCATAATAATAATCTTCGCTCGCTAAATTTTATAACAGTATTCTATCGAATGGAAAAGTACCAAATGATTTATCAACTTTAACAATTATTCCACTTGTTAAGAATTTTAACTGAGCGAAACTGTTAAGCACTATAAAAAACAATAACACGCCTTTATATATGTGCAGTTTAGATGCTAATAAAGCTTTTGATACTTGCAACTGGGATTTGCTATTTGAGAAGCTGTATATCCAAAAATAACTTCCGTTGTCTGTAGTATACACTATATTATCTCTTTATCATTCTGGTTCTGCAAACATATCCTATCAAGGTGTTACCTCAAATCAATTCAGTCTATCACAAGGGGTGCGACAAGGGTCTATTCTATCGCCGCATTTATATAATATTTATAGTGAAAGCATCCTAAATGAAATTGTTTCAATCAGTTGCAAAAGCTCTAATTGACAGTGGGATTCGTTACTGCCAGCCATCAACAATTGTTCATCTGTACAATACATTAACAGTGCCGAAATGATAATAATTTTCTCAGCAAAATAGACGCTGTTGGAAGAGCAGTCTTAAAATCATTTTTTTGTATTTCGAAGTACAGTAAAAATTACATTCATTCTTTTTTTAAAAAAGAAGATATCTCAACTATTCTCCTTAAGAACAAAGTTAATCTTTTTATCAGGCTGCTGAAAAAATTAAACTTGTTACTCACTGATAATTAATCAAATACAGGAAACACAGAATAAAAAATCCTTTACAAACGAAGTATTTGATGCATGCAACACACTTGATTTAAATTTCATACAGTGCATGTTAAATGGCAAAAAAAAAAAAATTGACGCAACCCATCGTAGAGCTACAAACTAATGTTATGCTAATACTGAAAGAAACGTTCCAGTTTTGGAATTTGAAAGAAAAGAGAGAACCGTTTAAAATCTTGATGGAGGAGAATGTTCCTAGAACTCTGTCCTAATAATATATGGAAAACCGGCTGTTTATAAGCATTTATTGCTAACAACTACAAGAGCCGTGTTGTTTTAGCTGATTTTTAATTTATTGTTTGACTATTTAAATATTATTTTACCTGTAAATTACTACCGAGTGATAAAGAGAAAATATAATATAAATAAATATTTATTAAAATAAAAAAAATCTAAAAACTTATTTTTATTAAAAAGTATAATAAATTTAGTAATTAAACCTTTGCTTTTTAATTTTTTTTTTTCGCTTTGAACATAAAAGTATTTGTTAATGCGCATGTCCAGAATAAAGTCCCATTACGAAACTACCGTGATATAAGTTATTTTCGTGCATCTACTATATATAAGTTATTTTCGTGCAGCTGCTACATATAAGTTATTTTCGTGCATCTACTACATATAAATTATTTTCGTGCATCTACAACATTAAGTTATTTTCGTGCATCTACTATAAATAACTTTATTTTTTATCTTTTTTTAACTTTATCTATTTTTAACTATATCTTTATGTTCCATATAAGGCAACACATATAAGTAATTTTCATGCATCTGCTACATATAAGTTATTTTCGTGCATCTACTATAAACAACTTTATTTTTACATCTAAATCAGATCATAAACAGCAAAAAAAAATTTTTGGAGATTTTTTCAATAATTTGCCTAGTAAAGGGTTAATTAACAGTATCTTTAACTAATAGTATTATTAATAGTTACGTACAAATGAGGCCTTTTAATATGTTTATAAAAACCATATTATACTCATTTAAAAACCATATTATTCTCATTTAAACTTTATGGTAGCCAATAACTTAACGATGTCTACTTGCGTAAATTTTAAGATGTAATAATAAAATAATCATGAAAAACAAATGATTTTGGTTAATAAATATACTTTTTGTAAATAAAACATACTTAGGTGCCAAACTTAAGTATCTTCTTGTTTCTATCACATTGTTTAGGAAAATGTTGAAACAACATCATTATTTGGTTTGGGTGTAAACTTTATATAATCATAACCTTTGAATTTTGAATTTTAAAACCTGTCCACTTAAATTTAGTGTAAGAAAACAAAAATAAAAAATTACTAATTTGTTGTCCTCCCATTTGGGGTAGAGATAGTAAATGTTTTAGGTTTTTTTTTCCAGGCTCCAACCACCAAAAGTTTTATTTCTTAATCTACGTATAAATGATTGCTTAGCTCAGCTCGTGTTATATGTATATTTCACAGTAGCGTAGCAAATTATTTTTGGTCAGTAGAAATACGTGGCCAAGGTGCCCAATTTCTGTTTCTCTGGAACAGTAATTATTCTTAAAATAAAACTAAAATCTTGCGGCTCTAGGTTCAGTTGCTTGTGGGACCGTAAGTTTAGCTTATACTGGCCTTACGGTAGCTAAGCCACCAATACTACACACAGATAAAGATATTTATGTGAAAAGCTTTACACTTTTCATGCCCATATTATAGCACTGTAGTTGTTTAAACCAAGACTTTTAAAGTCAAAGGATATTTTTGAGCAGGTGGACTTTTTTCATATCAAAGTGGCAAAATATCTTTACAAAAACAACGCGTCCTCTTAAAAAATTCGGGGCTCTTTAATCTTCAGGGCATGGCGTTATAGCCCCATAATTCAGGACAGGTTTAAACTTTCTTTCCTTAGTTTTTAAACAATAAATACATTTACGCAAAAAACTTGTAAAAAAGAACTCTCCCATGGGTATATGCGCCTTCTGCTGACTGTCTTGTTTTAGCTTTGTCTAAATTCCAGACCTTTCGGATAGGTGGTCAGAGGGTGAGTATTTTTGAGGCGGTTTGAAAATATAACTAGAGAGGGTTTTTATCATGGGCAGAAATCTATTCTTGATACTTTCAAACTATATAGGGAAGAAATACCTAAAACCAAGAAAATCAAATGTTGCGGCAAACTAAATGTTAGTACCTTACTATTTTGTATTACTTTTGTACAAGATCCTTTCAAAGTTATTGTAAAATATAAGTATATTTAATTTTAATTTTTTTATATAATTTACTTTTAATTTACTTTACAAATTATACTAAATGTAAGCATATGTAACTTAAATTTTACTTTATATAATTTATTTTTAATAAAGATTTGTTATTACTTTTAAAATAAAAAATTCCTAGTTAAAAAAAATTATTTTATTTTGTTTGTAGTCATCTAAAAAAGTTTTAGTTTTTTTCCACTTTGTTCAAAAGGTTAATCTTTAGTACGACGAACGCATATAAATCTGAACTTAGTTTAAATCAAATGTTCAGTACGTAATTATTCTTCGATCGCTTTTGATTAGCTGCTTTTATCTTTTCCAATACAACTTCATTCGTATAAAACTTGCAAGAATTTAAATAATAAAGATAGGCCATTTCACGTTCTATATATACATTTAAAAATTGGAAACTTCATAAAGTTCCCAGAACATTCTGGTAATTGAAAAAAAGTGCTGATAACTTTAGCCAAGTCAATAGTTTTATAATTAAAGTAACATCCATTGCAATGTTTGTGGGTAAACTAATAACTATTCCCCCTATTTTTAAGTAAATACCATCGTTAATTAGATAATATCTTAAGGTGGATCTTCCCAGAATTGTTTTTTACAACTATCTAGAAGTTGTTTTAGATTTCAAAAAATACATGATAAAATTTATATAAAATGCAATATTATTCAAAATTATAAACAAGCCTAGAATTTTTACTCCGCTTGATCTCGTCTTAAGAAATATTAAATAAAAACACAGACTGTATTCTTAATGTTGAAAACTTATATTTACATAATCAATCAATATAATTACGATCTTTGTTTAACATCGACTTTTGTTTTTGTAACAATATCTCATTATTTTCAAAGCAATTTGTTCTTGACTTGATATAGTTGTCAACAAATATTGTTCTTGACATATCTTTATTGCCAACAAATTTCATTTTCGACATTACATTATTCCCAATACACTTCGTTCTCGACATGACATTATAATAATTGCATTTCGTTTTCGACTCGTTCTCTACACTTTCACAACATCTTATTGTTTTTATAATATTTCGATTATATACCAAAATTAAACAGCTAACAAATTTTCCAAGTACTTTACTCATAATCTCATCGTCATCTAGATCCATAAGTGTATTTTCATGAAAAGGCACTTTACTAACAAAGCAGCAGTCGTACAGATTTTCAGATGCGCATATTAAGGATGACTCAGGTAGCAATTGCTTACAATTAACATTTAGCGGTAAGTTTTTTGTGTCTTGTTTATTATTTAGACTAAACAATCCTAGAAAGAATATTTAATATTTAACAAAACTCAGTTTAAAGTCAATATAAAATATAAGTCATTTTAAAAAGTAAATATATCAGTGGTATATAACATATATATATATATATATATATATATATATATATATATATATATATATATATATATATATATATATATATATATATATATATATATATATATATATATATATATATATATATATATATATATATATATATATATATATATATATATATATATATATATATATATATATATATATATATATATATATATATATATATATATATATATATATATATATATATATATATATATATATATATATATATATATATATATATATATATATATATATATATATATATATATATATATATATATATATATATATACGGGCGATTCAGCGAGAAACAGGGAAGAAGAAAAAAAAAAAGAAATAATGTTATGAAAACAAATACTAAAATCCAAAACTCTTTTATATAGCTATTTAAAAACACTTTTAAGCAAAGAAGTTATTGAAAAAAATTACTTTATCATACCATTTCATGGTTTAAAGTTGTAAAGTTGGTATAATTGTATTTTGACGTTTATTTAAAGTCCGGTTGTGCAGTGTTAATAATCGTAAATAATCGTAAATAATTGTAATAATGGTAAAACCATAATTGAGAACTTTGATAAAGTTTTAGCGCATTTTCAAAACTCAATTTTTATGGTTTAACAATCATTTATCCTTTTTCCTTACATTATCGATTGGGTTGTTTTGTATGTTGTTTTTTAATATTAGATATTCTCTTACGACCTTTATGGTTACAACTGCCACTACAAAAAAATATATAAAAATGCTTGTAAAACTTTAAGTAAAAACTATGAAACCCAGCATATAATATTTATATGTGCTAAATACACACACCAAATGTTTTTTTTTTTTTACCATACCGTTCGCTGCATTAAGTCTGACAAAGTTGTTTTGTTCAGAAGTGGTAAACTTTACAACTGTCACGCAACGAAGAGGTTATTTTTAAAAAAAGTTTAAGACTTGAATGCTGAAACTTTTGCATACAAATTATATGACAGTATTTCACGTTTCAAGCCATTTACATTTTCGATTCATTTTTAATAGCTTAAAGAGTTTCAAAATGGTACGACCATCTGTGCAAAAAAAATATATACATAGTTAACAGAACTTTATTGGATGCATTTAAGAATACTAACCGATAAAGAAAAAAAGAAAAACTTTTTTAAAATTGTTTAAGCTAATATTCTAGTAGTATTAGTCATTTAGTTTGATAACCCGTCAGGGTTAGGGTTAGGTCAGGTTTAACCTTGACACATTAGTTTTGGTGTATAAACATCTGATCGTGCTTGTCCAGATATTAAGCAAAAACAATAATTGAAACTCATGTTTTTTATATATAATCCTGATGAAGAGAGTTAGTGAAGAAAGATAGAGTTGGTGTTAAGAGATAAAGAGATTTGGTGTTAAGAGATAAAGAGAGTTGGTGTTAAGAGATAAAGAGAGTTGGTGTTAAGAGATAAAGAGAGTTGGTGTTAAGGGATAAAGAGAGTTGGTGTTAAGAGATAAAGAGAGTTGGTGTTAAGAGATAAAGAGAGTTGGTGTTAAGAGATAAAGAGAGTTGGTGTTAAGGGATAAAGAGAGTTGGTGTTAAGAGATAAAGAGAGTTGGTGTTAAGAGATAAAGAGAGTTGGTGTTAAGAGATAAAGAGAGTTGGTGAAATGAATTACCAGAAGAAATATATAATGCAAAAATCGTCAAAATTGATTTAAGAACGAATATCAACATCTTATGTATAAAACTGATTTTACTTCTATACTTATGTATAATATGACTTGAACCCTCTACGTTATGACTTTACCCAATTAAATTTTTACATTACGTCTCAAAATGGTTACAATTGTTTATACTATGAAGTATAAGCAATTGTAAGTGAAGCTACTATTCAGCATATTTTAAAGTTAAATACGAAACCCGATAAACTATTACCAGTAATTATTGTTATAACTAACAACAAAGAAAAAAATTATGTACTAAAAATTACAAAATACCTGCGCAAATTACCATAAACTAATAACGCAGATTTGGCAGAGGAACATTAGGGTTAAGACTGAAAATATTCTTGCAAAATTTTGTTACTGTTATTGTCGCAAATAATGAGCTTTAATGACCTGATTATTTATAAACTATTATTAGAGCTATTTTTTAAAAAAAGTTCCTGCCCCAAGACACCCAGTGATATTGTAGCTTTAAGGCTGTCGATGTTTACCCAGACACCCAGGTATCCACCCGTTGGCTACTGCCCAGGTAACATGACGGGTAACCAGCATTTTTGTATGTTTAAGATTCGTTTCATTCATTTTTATACTTTAAAACCATTAATTGTAATACAACAATATTAAATGGAATGTGAAGTTTCACAATATTAAACGGAATGTGAAATTAAAAACTGTTAGTAAAACAGTTTCACAATATTAAACGGAATGTGAATAACTGTTAGTAGAACAGTTTCACAATGTTAAATATGTAAAAGAAAATCTTGAAAATCTTGTTGCTAAAAACTTCAATAGATGCAATTTCTTTATCAACATAAACTTTCTTGACTTCTGCGCATGTGGTCAATTGACAACATGCATCTTTGGGACTCAAAACAGTTGAGACGCTAGTATTTCTAAACCATAATAAGGACATATGTAACCTGGACACATTATTTTTTTGCTATACTAATTTATTTAAGCAGTAAAACATAGTATAAATACAAATAGCAGTGGCAAAGACATAATTTGTCTTATCCTTTATCAACTTAAGCCACTTAAAGTAAAATAAAGAAAAAGAATATTTCTAAATAAGTGGACTCATTGAGTTAAAAGTTTTTATAGACTGTTTATAAAAACATCTTTTAAAAAAAGCATTATTTTTTTAAAATGTACACAGGTACCCTCCCATTCATTTAACGGGTACCCCGGCATGCATTTTAACACTTTTTGACAGCCCTAGGTAGGTGTCCTAAATATATCATATTAAGATTTAAAAGAAGTGAAATAGGTATTTCATAAATAACAACCTTTTTTAATTATAACCTACATAAGAAAGATATTGTGAGAAATATTTTTAGTAATACCGGGTGACCAAACCGGGTAACGCAACTGCGTTACGCTCAAATTTAAAGCTCTATCCATGCTTGTAGTAATTTGTTTACAAATTACGCAATGATATCAACGCAGAAATAAATAAAAAGTAAAAATTAAAAAAATTTAATTAAAATGGGTCTGCAAGAATTAAAAAGACGAACCATTCTGCAAGTGTTGCAATTGGATAAGACTACATCAGATATCAGAAAGGCTTTAAACTGCTCCAGAACAGCAATTTTTTGAGTAAGAAAACTATTTCATGAAACAGGAGATATAAAACGACGTTTTAATAAGCCAAAATCTGTGAAACGATCACCTCAGCTTTTAAGGTCTGTCAAAAGAAAAGTCAAGTGAAATCCATTGCGCTCCATCTGCCAGTTGGCAAGGGAATGGATTTTGTTAACTAAAAGTTAAAAAAAGGTATGGGATTGTGATTAATTAGCGCAACAATTTATATAAAAGTTTTTTTTTAAATGTTTTAGGTTTTTAGAGTTATTCTTAACACAAGGAATTATATCATGAGATAAAATATGAATTGATGTTGTGTAAACTACTTTTTAGTAAATTTACTTATAAGATTTTTGCAAGGTGAATTCCTTACATCATGTACAATCTTAGCTTTTATTTGCTAAATCTAAGCTTTACATTCGTGCTTTTTATGTATATTAGTTACTTTTATTAGATTTTTTTGAATATATTAAACCTTTGAGAATTATTTAGTTATAGATTAAAATAAAAAATTTAACTTTTTCCATTATAGTTAAATACCCAATTTTTAATTTTTTTCTATTCGATTTTTCCATTTCTATTTGAACACTTTTAATTAATATTTAATAATTAATAATTTAAGTGTAAACATTTTTGATTTACAAAAACTAAAGTTTGAACTTAGTATTAATTAAATTTCTATTATTTGCTAAGAGTCTAGTTAATAAAAATCATAGTAAAAAAATACGAAAACATTGTACCTTTAAATTGAGCTACAAAGTAGTCTATCATCTCATAATCATTATTTTGAAAATTTTTATTTGAATGCACAGATGCCAGTGAATCATTAAGTATTGATATTAGCATGTTCATAAATATCCAAACCATAAAAAAGTTAAATCCAAAGAAAAATATTGGACCAAGAACAGGACTTTCGGCAAAAGTTTCAAAACTGAATTTTCCTAATAATAATGATCCTATTGAAGTAACTGTTTGAAAATGCGTTTGGTAACCATCTAAGAAAGAACCTTAAAACAAAGAGAAAAAAAGTATAAAATACATAAGTTAATTAGGTAAATCTTGTGAATTATAAATAAATAATAATAAAAAACAAAAAAAATATTAAAATTGCTAAGTTACCAAATGCAATATTAGAAAAAAGGACTACTGCCCAAAGAATAAGGACGAATACAATTCCAATCATTAAAAGTGGATAAAAAGCAACTTTTAGTGTAGAGGAAAGCACCGAAACACGACGATTGAACCGAAGTAATTTGAGAAATTTTAAATTAACAAAAAAAACAATTAATGAGACAATACAAGTGTAGTTAGAATCTATATGAAAAGCAAACATAAAGTTTATAAAATTTTCTGGTTGCTTATCTTGAAGACGGCTCATCAGTTTTTTTGCAAGTAGACCTAAAGAATAATAAAACGATAATAAAAAAATATATATTAAAAATTATATTATTAGAATCATTTTATTATTATCCATTGTTATATTGACATAATATATATATATATATATATATATATATATATATATATATATATATATATATATATATATATATATATATATATATATATATATATATATATATATATATATATATATATATATATATATATATGTATATATATATATATATATATATATATATATATATATATATATATATATATATATATGTATATATATATATATATTACGTCAGATCAGGAGTATGGTCTTCATGATCATCCTGCTACTGGTAACATGTAACCCAGTGCAATCTGTTCCATGTTCTGCTGCCTTGCAGGATTTGCTTTCTAAGCAAAGGGTGGAAGGAGTGTGCCTCCTGTCATCAGTACTATCTTATGTCAGTCATGCCTATAGTAATATATATATATTTTTTTTATAAAGTTAGAGGCCCCTTAGTTACTGTATTAGCTCACCTGTAATCTACTTTATATGTATGTCTGTGTTCTGTCTGAACCTCTGGCGCAGTGTTCGGTCACCCGTAAGTTACTTTATGTTTTTATGTATGTTTGTGTTCTGTCTGAACCTCTGTTGCAGTGTTCGGTCACCCGTAAGTTACTTTATGTTTTTTATGTATGTTTGTGTTCTGTCTGAACCTCTGGGGCGGTGTTGACTCACCCGTAAGTTGATTTATGTTTGTTTGTGTTCTGTTTATTCTCTGATGCAGCGTGAGCTCAGTAACTAGCTACTTATTCCAACTACAAAACCTAGACTCACCTTAGACTCCTGTATTTTGTTAGATGCAGTGTTTTTGCTAATGCCCTCCTAAAATGTCATGCCTGGTTTTCACAAAGTACTGCTGCGGAAAGTAACTCCTTTTAACTACTCCAGTTCAGGTCAGGCTAATCAACATCAATCTTGCTACTGGTATCACATAACCCAGTACTACCTGCCACAAGCCCTGCTGCCTTGCAGAATGTGCTCTTCTTAGGTAAAGGCTAGGAGAAGTAAACTCCGACTAAAAACTCCCCTGCCTTGGGGCTCTTGGTTGAGTAAAAGCTAGAGATGGTGTCTCGATAAAAACACTCATCTTGGGCAGATGATAACTGCATCCAGCTAAACATCCCCTGCCTTGGGGTACTTGATTGATTAAGGATTAGAAATGGTGTCTCGATAAAAATATTCATCTTGGGCAGATGTTAACTGCATCTAGCTACTGTCTTATAGAAGGCCTCCTAGGCAAAGAATTTAGGGGTAAGCAGAAAAATTCTGCTAACCAGCCTCGAACCCCTTCTTCATCTATTAGGCTTTATATCCATACAGCTCTAAAACTCAGTTTAATGGTTCTGAGACAACTGCATAGCTCAATGATTAGGAGGCTGTGCTCTATCTATGAATGATTCAAGTTCTCATTAAACCCAAATCATTACCAAAGTAACCAAAAATTTTAAACCTAAAAAACTATTCCCACTACCTAAATGTTTAAATATATCTTTTACAAATATTCGCGGTCTGCAAAGCAACTTTCCGTCAGTTGAGTCTTACCTCCTGCAAAATTCACCAGACTTGCTTGCACTCAGTAAAGCAAATTTAAATTCTGCAATTCCTTCTTCAGATTTCAGTGTTGATGGGTACTATCCTTTGATTCATAAAGGCTCCAATAGTCTCATGCTAGGTTTAGGCGTATACATACGCATTAATTCCCATATTTGTCGTGATATCAGGTTCCAATTCTTTGACCATTCTTTTATGTGCTTTCGCCTAGCACCTCTTCACTTTATCACCTTTCTCTTTGTTCTTTATCGTTCTCTTCTTCCCATTATTGCACTCTTTTAGATGTTATCTTTGATCAAATTAACCATGTCCCCTCTCTTTACCCCTCTGCCAATATTGTTGTTGTTGGTGATTATAATGCCCATCACACTAAATGGCTTGGCTCTAACACCACTGATCCTGCTGGCACTAAAACCTTTAACTTCTGCGTTTCTCAATCTCTTACTCAGATAGTTAACTTTGTGACTCATTTTCCTGACAACCCTAATCATTTACCTTCACACCTTGAATTATGTCTTGTCTCTAACCCTAGCTTATGTTCAGTTTCTCCCTTTTCTCCCTTAGGTGGTTCTGACCATGCAATGACCTCTATAAATCTTTCTTCTCGTACTTCTTTTTTGGGCTCACCTTATCATCGCACCACCTACTACTACCCTAAAGCTGCTTGGAATCTTTTCCTGGTTTTCTTTATGATGGTCCTTGGGCTGATGTTTTTTTCTCTCTCAGCTGATAAATGCGCCTCCTACGTAACCTCCTGGATTCAGGCTGGAATGGAAGCTTTTATTCCTTCGTGTCGGTTTTGAGTCAAGCCTCATTCTACTCCATGGTTTTCTCCTTTTTGTGCGGCTGCTATATCCAATCTTAATCATTTTTTTCATCTTTTTCAAAAGAACAACTCTCTTGAAAACAAACAGCTATTTATTATTGCAAGAAATTGATGTAAAAAAGTGCTTTCTGATGCTAAACTCCATTATTCTCAGTTCATTAAATCTCGCATCTTATTGCAGAAGTTAGGTTTTGAAGACTTTTGGAAAATCTTCAACAGCATTATTAACAAGGGTAGGTCTAACATTCCATCTCTCATATATGGGACTGATCTTATTACTCTTCCAAGGATAAGGCAGAACTGTTTGCAAAGAACTTTTCTTCTAATTCCACTCTTGAACCTTATGGATATTCTCTTCCTTCCATTCCATTTAAACAGGTTGACCCATTGTTAGACATTCAAATCACTCCGGCTTCTGTTGCTAAAGTCATATCTCAATTAAACTCGTCTACAGCTTGTGGTCCAGACAACATTGCTGTCACAATCTTGCAGAATTGTTCTCCTGAACTTTTTTCAATTTTCTCTAAACTATTTAACAAGTGTTTGACTGAGTCTTGTTTTCCTGCTTGTTGGAAAATGGCATCTGTGGTTCCAATATTCAAAAACTCCGGAGAAAATTCTGACCCCTCCAATTATCGTCCGATCAGTCCTCTTTCTGTTATTAGCAATGTCTTTGAGTCTTTGATCAACAAATTCCTCACATCTCATCTTGAGTCAAATAAATAACTGTCAGACAATCAATACGGTTTTCGATCCTCTCGCTCTACGGCCGACTTGCTAACTGCTATAACTGAAAAATTTTTATCGTGCATTAGATGGAGGCAGTGAGGCTAGGACTATTGCTCTCGACATATCTAAAGCTTTCGACATAGTTTGGCATGCTGGTCTTCTCCATAAGCTTGCTTCATATGGTGTTTCTGGGAAAGTTTTTGATATTATCAAATCATTTCTTTCTAACCGGTTTATTAAAGTCATCCTTGAAGGCCAACACTCTTCTTTATTTCCAGTAACTTATGGGGTTCCCCAAGGTTCCATCCTGGGCCCTGTTTTGTTTCTTATCTACATAAACGATCTTCCTGACAACCTTTCATCTAAAGTAGCTCTTTTTGCTGATGACTTAACTTTATACTCCTTTCTTGACAAAAAGTCTTCTCTTTTTGATCACCTTGAACACGCAGCTGATCTTGAATCCGATCTCACTTCAGTAATAGATTGGGGTTCACAGTGGCTTGTGAATTTCAACTCTAACAAAACCCAGTTGTTTACTGCAAACAACTACCGGAATATGGTCAACATTCCTATATTATTAAACGGCAATCCTCTTACTGAATCCTTCTCTTTACGTCTTCTTGGACTATGGCTTACTACTGACCTTTTATGGAAACCATATATACAATCGATTGCTAAATTAGCTTCTGCTAAGGTTGCTTCTCTTTATCGTACTCGCCATTTCCTTAATTCTGATTCCATTCTCTACCTCTACAAATCTCTTATTCGTCCCTGTATGAAATATTGTTGTCATATTTGGGCTGCTTCTTCTAACGATTCACTTTCTCTTCTTGACATGGTCCAAAAACCCATTGTAAATGTTGTTGGACCTGGACTATCTGCTAAGCTTGAACCTCTTTCCCATCGTCGTAAAGTTGCATCTCTTACTCTTTTCTACAAATACTATCATGGTCACTGCTCAAAGGAGTTATCATCTCTAGTTCCATCAACTAAAATTAATTTTTGTTTTACTTGTCATTCAGGTAAGTCTCATTTGTTTACTGTATCTGTCCCTGCATGCTCTAAAAACTTTTATTTATCTAGTATTTTGCCCCGCACATCAATCCTTTGGAACTCTCACCCATCTTCATGTTTTCCTTACTCATACAACCTTCAACTTTTCAAGTCTTCTGTCAACCGTTTCCTTGCTCTATAACTCTGTTCCTTTTTTTTCCTAGTAACTCCCAACTTAATAGTGGTTGCTTGTAGCCTTGTTGGGAGTGAATGCAAATAAAAAAAAAATTTGATTTGCCTGAGTTGCAAATCGATGTCTTTTGGTGAAAAAAGAAACTTACTTTTTTTTTTTTTAATTTAAATGAGTTTCAGTGGTTCCTCTTTGAATTCTAATTTTATGACAGATCCTAATAATGTTGAAATTTTTTTCTTCTAAACCATATCAACCTGGTACTCAAAAGTAGCAGAATAATAGGTTTATTTTGAATATAATAATTGTTTTAAATAAACACTTAAGAGAAAAAAATTATATTGTTTTTTAATTAAAAAACCCCCGTCTTCATCAAAACGGGGGTTTTAAGGTACATTTTTGCAAATATTTTTCTTACAAAAAAATTTTTTTATAAAATTATATTTAATAAAACAAGCATTTTTTTCTGCTTTTTTTGAGCTTTTTCCAAGCTTGATATAGTTTAGAAAAAAAAAAAAATTCAAAAATATTAGGATACGTCAAGGATTTAGAATCAAAAGAGGAATCTCAAGATCTATTCAAAATCAAAAAATATTTTTTTACTTTCATCTTATAATTAATAGACATCGATTCGTGTCTCAGGAATATAATTTTTTTAACTTTTT